AGGTGAGAGCAGATGATCTAAAACAAGTAATTAGTAGAGTCTCTCACATCAAGATCATCTCCTAATAAATACTATCATAATTAATTTTTTTATATATTGCTTGATAATTATCATCAGAATCTAATAAGATTTATATTATATCTTATCTAATTAGATAGGATCAAATAATCTAACAGTAAAATTTATATATGATTTACATGCAAATTTAGAATGATAAATTCAGACTAGTATATTATTGTACATCTATGTTCGAATTGTATGTGAATGTTTATGTATGTTATTTGATATAATAAATTAAAATAATAAAAAAATAGAAAGCTCCTCTTGTCTTTTCGACGTGCCAAAAGATGAGAGTGAAGTCGGCGATGGAACCCATGGGTTGGCGGAAAGGGACGGCGTCATGTTCCGTCCAAGTCCCATCAGTTGAAGTCGACTTGCCAACGACCACAAGAAGGACGGGAAACCAATGGGAGCAAACTGCTCTCTACCAACCGAATCCAAATTGGCCGTCGGAGGCTTGTGGGGTGGCAGCGATGGATGGGCTTACTTTGATCGACGAAGCCGTCATTTTCACGAGTGATCGAGAAGAGAACCAAAGTAAGAGCATCCAAAAAACACCTGCAGTTCACCTCATGTAAAAGAGGCTGTCGGCCGAGTTGTAATGTGACTACGGAGAGGTGGCCTGATTGCTTTTGATCGGAGAGGGTGCAGATGAGCTATCAGTCTCAGCTACTCCACCCCGAGTGGAATAGTAAATGGGTTTGGGAGAAGATTTGTGCCGTGCGTGGAAATGACCAGCCACCGAACGCCTCTCGCGATCAGAATGGATGCATAACGAAGGACCAGCATTGGATTTCGATTTCATGTGTTAGATTATATATTGAATGCTTTTCTTTAAAGGGTGATTGATTTCCCTCATAATAAAAATAAATAAATAAAAATCCTCTTTTTTCTTTTTTTTCCCCCCAAAAAATTGTTCCGTATTTTGTGCCACAATTCGTATAATACCCAAAATATCCCTCTCACCAACTCGAATGATATATATATATATATATATTCTGTTAGAATAGTTTACTAGTTTTAAACTGTTTTAGTATTTTCATTTGATTCACTTCTAATGTATTTATTGAGATGCTAAAAATACTATAAAATTATTAAAAAAATATTATAAGTGACATCATATTATATCTCTTTTGCTATTATTGCACGTATATGATGTCATGTTTTTAAACTTATAGTTAATTTGGTTGAGGTTAGAAATCCATCTGAATCATTTATAATATTTTTAAATATATTTTATAGTATTTTATTACGAATACCAAAACTTATAACATGTCAATTTTTTATCCCTATTCGGACCATATTGTTTTTAAACTATTATACATATCTATTTAAAATCTTAGTATGAAATATCAAAATGATTTTGAGTGTGTTTTTGTTGAGGTATCGAAAATACTATAAAACTATCGAAAAACATCGTAAGTGATATCATATATCGTATCTTCCTAAAATTTTAAGTTTAAAATTAGTTTGGTTGAGGTTATGAGTTCATTTATATCATTTACCATATTTTCAAGTAGGCTTTATAATAATAATAATATTAAAATATTATAACAACTCAAAAAATATTGTAATAGATCAAAACATTGCAACGTACAGAACAAATATCATTGGAGTTGGTGAGAGATATTTTGGACATTATTCAAAACAGAGATACCATTTGGAAAAAACATAGAAACCTTTTCTTCGGAAAAAGGAAAAGAAAAGAAAAGAAAGTATTTTCAAGAAAATCATCATTTTCCCTTTTTTTTTTCAAAAACTTAAGTTTTTATAAATTATAATCATCCAATCATATATTTTATCTATCTCTTGTTTCTATTTCTAGTATATATTTAAAAATAAATATTTATGCATGTGGTAGGCTTACTTGTGAGAAAATGCTAAATTATATATTACGCATGTGCTAATTTTGTTTACTCGTAAATATTAATGTGTTTCGTGGACACAAATTATATATTAGATCCCTTCCTCGAAACTTAATATTTCGAGAATTGCGATCACCTAAACATCATAGTTTAGTATAGTATAATTTTGAACCCTATCATAATTAATTAATTAATTAATTAATGTAAATTTACATTATTGATTATTTGTTTCATGTTTTATTTATTATGACTCGGGCCTGATAGGCTAATTGGTATATCAACTTCGTTTAGTCTAAACCACTGACCAAAATATTTAAGCTGAAGTTGATAGTAGTACACTCATCAGACTCTTATAAGTCAATCTTAATCCTGCCCACTTTCGATGTGGGACTAATCAGGGGTGTTACAATATTACTCGAGTTGGGATGGAAAATTATCGTCTCAAAACTCTTGCTCTTGATAATGTCTTATAGTCAGAAGTTAAATAGATTACATTCAATCACTATAGTCATTAATTTTGATCTATTTCATCGTGCATGAGCTTGGTATCGAAGAAAGGAAAGAGATGCCTCCTTTGTGTTCTGCATGCCGTCGGGGCAGTTAAACACATTGGTCGAGTAGAATTAGAAGTTCAAATAAGGGTCGTATTGTTTGTTTTATTGGATTCAGATTTCGATTTGATACTTGTTATCTCCAAGATCAACGATCTTAGTGAAATGTCGGAAACGACTCGACATAGTTTGATCCTAAGCGAAATAAAGTCTATCACGTCTTAGATGTCGAATCGAAGCCAAAGTGTGCACTTAAGACGTATGTTGGGTTTTCCTAACTTTGTTCTCTATGTAAACTTGCTATTTATTGTCGGTGCTATTTGACTACTTATGTCTAGCAAAACATCAAAAATGATTAGAGGAATACATTATATTAAGACATTTATTGATGTGATAGATTTGATATAAAGAATTTTATCATTTTTTCTCGCATTAGTGTCCATATGTCGACTAGTGAAAGGATGATGTTTCACACGTCAATATCGATTAATTATCCATATTTAAGTAGGATTCATATTTGAACCAACAAAATTTATTTTATTTATTAAAATAATAAATAACTTTCTATCCTTCAATCTACCCCTAGTTGAGTAGGGAGCAAATGTGAAATATATTACCAACTTAATGATAATATTTATCTTAATGATATATATAACTAAATTACCAACTTAAAGATAATATTTATCTTTTGGAACAAGTGAATTCCCACACTAATATATGAAATTTGAGAAATATTCCACTATAATAAACCCTATCTATAGTTTAAACTAGTTGTTTATGTTGGATTACATGATCCTATCTAATTAGGTAAAACATATTATGAATATGATTAGATTTTTATTATGATTATTAATCAATTAAAAGTAAACCTAATTATAATAGGATTTTTTAAGAAATGATCTGGATGGAATATACTCTACTCTCGTCTATAAATAGTTAAAACTTTCTAGAGACTAAAAGTATAATACATAGATGAGACGCATATAAAAGGATACATGAATATATTATATTATTAAAAAAATTATAGATATTTTATTATCTTTCCCTAGTCACGTAAACCTCTCGATAAGAGATTAGATATTTTTTCTCATCTTTCTTTTATTCCTAATCTAGTTCTTCTTATAGATCAGTACCGTCGTTATAGATTTCGGATCTGATAACGATGTGCTCACATATAAAAAAAAAAAAATTGAATAATATCGAAAGCTTCGTATTATAAATTTAAATATTTTATTACTTGATTTCAGATTTTGACATTAAAATTTATATATAAGAATAATTTTTGTACTAACAGTTGATGCCATATAGTCGATTCGACTTTGTCTTTTTCTTTTTTTTTTCTAAGGTCACGTCATTCAAATCGGATCCTCGAAGCGGTTGGTTGCTCCCGCAAGATCTTACCCTTAGTTAGCCTCTCAAGTCAGACGTCACTTGCAAAACAGTAACGTCGAAGACATGTCGACGAAACCACTCCAACGCTCAATCGATATGTGGCTCAAACGAAAGAGCTAACAGAGCTCTCAAGTACTAAGAGAAATATTGCTCGAACAATATTTTTCAGTCACCGCATGCTGACAAGACAGCTCATTCTGCCTGCACTCCGATAATGAAATGATACGACTCATTCAATATAAAATAATAGGTAAAGAAATATTTTGAGAATGAGATAATATAAAGAAAATATTTTACTCGTAAATTAAATTATATTATTTTTATCGATTACTAAATTAAATATTGAAGGAAATATATTGAAAAACTCATCCGACCTTGGTCTTCGTACAAGTCGATCGTGAAGAATGCACTCGAATCCATCTCAGCCCTCAAACGGATATCTGAACCTCTCTTCCAACCATACCAGACATATTATACACATAACCTTGAATCGAGTAATGCTAATCGACATCACCTACACAATCATTATCTAGTTTTATTTGACGATTCCGAAATATTGCATTCCGATGTCCAAACTAAATTTATTCAGATCTTGTGTATGATCTCAAAGCCCAATGTCCGACGCATACCTCATGTTTGGCAATTCGGGATTCCAGAATCGAAAGCCCATTGTCTTGACACATTCCTCATGTCTGCCCCATCTGAAAGCCCAATGTCTGACACATACCTCATGTCTGGCAACCATACCAGCCATGTTTTGACGCATAGCTCCCCCCCGGCAGCATGACGGCCAAGGTGGACAGGTGTCTGCTGGTGCTCCGGCAGATACCGATTACTAGAGCTGAGAAGAACCCCCAGATATCGATCTTGCTATTATGAGCTCACTGTCTCATTAATTTAGGATGATCTTTACGATCATTAACCCTTCTCTGCAACCAAGGTCTCCAAGACAAGATCGTAGCCTTGGAATCCGTGTTCAATGTACAGTCAATGAGACGGGGAAGAGAGGTTTACCGGGGCAATCAAAATTTGCGACGGATATGCTCTCACCATTCTCAGCATTAAGAGAATAATTAATAGTCCTGACAATAGGGATTCCCATCACAAAATACATTGCACAGGAACGCAAAACTAAACATGATTTAGGTGTGCTGCATATAAATAAATATCCACCGAATGGGACAGAGAAAATGCTGAAGCACAAAATCCAGTCTGCTCAAAGTGACTTGGTTATAGAGTGGTTCTTTTTTCGGCACCATGTAAAAAGACCGCAACAACTTTTGTCTACACTAATGGCAACAACAAAATGTTACAAACATACAACATCCCAGCAATTTCAAGACCCATGTTTTTCTTGCTCATCAACAATTAGCTTTACACAACAGCATCTATTTGTTATCGGGATAGCATCTGCTAAGAAGCTCAAGAAGAAGAGTAGCAGCCGAGTCCTTGGCCTTTTTAACACTGGGCATAGGTTCTCCAATGCACTCATCGGTCCAACCACGATCGGATGTATTAACTCGGACTGCATAGACAAATCGTTTTGCATGAGCAGGACCACCTTCATTAACACAACGGTACTGAGGCATGGGCCACTGCCTTCTTAAACATATGTCATTAAGAGTTTGCCTAGTGAAGATTTGAATACCATTCTTCCTCTCTCCATTTTTGTCCATATCCTTGGCTATTGCATTCTCTTTTTCCTTCTCCTTCAAGACTACCAACGCATTCCTTGCAGCCAACTTTTGTGCCATCTTCTTCTGTGGGTTTTGGGCTATGCCAATCTGAACCCCATCAATGAAAACTTCAACGGTTGCTATGTTACCTGTCCGTGTGGCTTTGTATTCTAAACCTTCTGCCTGTTGCTGGCATCGTTCTTGAAGTTCCCTCACTGGATGCATTGGAAGGGTTTCAGGAGTGACCATCGGATGCAATAAGGGTTGGAAGACCTTGTCAAAGTTCCAGCAAGAGAAAATCAATGACAAAATTCAATAAACAAAACGAGAGAATCTGATAACATGCAACACAACTATATCATTACATTCTACGATTGCACAAATAAAAATTATGCTTTTGAATTGAGAATCACCTTCCAGACGATTGATGCATCATGCTCGTTGTCCAGAAAAATGGCACCAGCAATAGACTCAACAATGTCCCCAAGGACTTTGGGAGCCTTGCAATCTCCAAGACCAAAATAGTTGAAACCTGTTCTCGATAATTCATCTTGGACATCCTTCACAAAGTCCCGTATCTACAAAATTTCAAAAGCAATTTCATCAAAAATGATGATACTACCATTGCTTGAACTATAACAGTGATATAAAAAGACTAATAGGAAAGCAGGCAAACACCTGTGCTTCCAGGGCACTCGAACCATGACGAAGATGCACATGCAGCTTGTGCTTGACAGCAACACGGGCAAAGTTCTCATTATTAACGGCAGCAGCACGCAAGTCTGTCAGGCGTCCAGGAGGTAGGTCAGTGTATGTGAAAAACAGGTGTTTTGTAATCAGATGGTCCAATACAGCATCACCAACAAATTCCAGTCGTTGATAACAAGAAACCCCAGACGAGGGCCGCGAAGCATGTGTAATGGCTTCGACGAGCAAGCCCCTATCTCTGAACTTCACATTAAGTGCACCTTCTAGTGCATCAAAGTCAACACTCCTCATAATGCTTTCAGGTATATTGTATGGTTTTGGACATGGAATGTCACGAGGGTCAATGTCCACCTGAATCCCAATCCATTTCATAAGGTGATTTGCAGCAACTTCCCCGCCTTCAACATAATACACCCCAATCAGTGCTTCAACAACATCTGCAAGAGTTTTACTGGATAGAACCCTGTAGCAGCTGGAATCACTCTCAACTTCCCCATCTTCCCTCATATTTTCTATACAATCATCAGCATAGAAGTCCTTTAGTGGCTCAGTCTCATCAGCAGGACATTCCTCATCAAAAATAGAGTGTTCTGCTTCCTTGCTGTCCTCATCAAAAACAGGAAGCACACCAGGCGCGGCCCATCTAGATGGAGCAAATCGGTCAGCCTGGATATAGGACTGAAGTCCCTTATTAAGTGCATACTGGTACAGAACCATGTTGCTAACCATTTGTTGCCTCATCCTTGTTAGCTGACCTTCATGTTTTTGGGGGTATTTGAGGAAAAGAAAGATACTGACAACCCACTTTAGGTATGCATCACCAAGTAGTTCTGCCCTTTCGTAGCAGAAGGTCTCCTGACATGAAGCAGCTGTTAAAGCTTCTAATATCTGCACAAAAATAACACCTCAGACATGATGGTATACAAGTTGACAAAAGGAAAGCAAAACTATATACAATACCTTAGTTGCAGGAACAGGATATCTGATCATATCTTTCAGCTGAACAGCCAGAAGCATACTTTCTACTCTTCTCATTATTGAGGGTAACCTCTGTGCGCCACGAACAAGAGCACCCGGAAGTGGATGAATAAGGCATAGTTCAGGAGGTAGATATACATAGTATGTTTTGTCTAAATTCTCTTCATTTTCAACTTCTGGTGATAAGACCAAAAATTTCACCATGAGAATTATAGAATAGCAAAAGCTAGAATGACAAAAGCAGGCAAACACAACTGAGATGCATAACAATACCCTCAGAATGCTCGAATCTAGGGGAGAGAAGATTTTTGCAGTACGAAACTCCACGTCCTCTTATAAGAGGTTGTCTCTTGTACATCAAGTCCACCCCATACCTGCCAATAAAACAAAAAAAGTAACCTCTAGTCAGATACAGCATATGTACCTGCTTAAACAGAGTATTTTATGCCATCTGACAAAATAACCAGTCAATCGATCAGAAATATCAAAGTTATGGAAATTGAACTCCTTACATTGATGTACAGAAAAAAAAAAATATCACTTATAGTAAGAATCACTTTATATTTACCATTTTAAATTCCTATTTTATATGTAAGATCACAACAGTGGTCAAGTATTATATAGAAAACCCCTTGCAGAATTTTTTCGTAAGAAACTCTTACTTCTGTCTGTAGTAGTCAGCATAGGAACTGTACTCCAATGGCCCAAGGTAGCCCTCCTTTCTTGGAAAGGAATTCTCAGCATTCATGTCATAGCGGACAGAATCCACATAGAATCTTTTCCCTGAATGCGCAGCAGTTACGATCCTCCCTACAAGATCCTTCACATCAATCCAAGAATCTGCCAAAAACAGTTTTCCTTCACAGTGGTAAATAAAATCTATGGGTTCAATTGATTCTCGACTGGGAAGCAATCCAGAAGCCTTCACAACATCAAACTGAGCAATAGCCCCTCTTATTCCATATGTAGGGTGAGCTTTGTGACCAAATGCCATGCCATGTCGTAATTTCCCAAATCCATATTCCCTCCTATCACCACCTAGGGTTCTCTCATTAGTACCAAGATAAACATCTGGACGTGCCCTCTGAAGAGGATTATTCCATGCATCAGTCTCCACTATCTTCTCAACTAAACACCAGTCGATCTGTTTCAAAGGATCATGACATTTCTCAGCCACCACAGGGATAAAGAGATACGCCTTTGCAGGATCCCAAGGAGTAGTCAAAGGATCAACATCAATATCAAGAACAATGCTCATAAGTCTGACGTGAAAGCTCTTTAGTGAAACCAGCTGGATGAACACATCAGATTACCATTTAATCAGGAATAGCTACGCTATCAAAAACAGAAATGAAAAGGTAAAAGACAAAGAAAGCAACTTACTTGAGTTTCTGTGATCATTATGGTTCCCCGGAAGACGAGAGATGCCTTTGTTATCATTGTTCTAGCAACAAAGAGATCCATCGTCATCGATAAAACCTACAAGACCAACAAACCATGAGTAAGCAATTCCTCACATTACGTACATATACCAGATTGTTGCTTAGATATACCTCTGCATCCAGCTCATTTCCAAAAAGTATAGCAAAACATGAAACTTGTGTAAGGAATGGATCCTTGGAAGTTCCAACATTGACACAATTTACTGCATACATATGCAACTCGTGAAATTCCGAACTGTTGCAACCTTCACTACCAGATAATATCCATTCACCCTGTATTTCAAATTTTGAATGAGTATAGAAAAAAATCATACAATTGAAAATTTAAAAAGATAACCAAAGATAAAAAGGATAGGAATGAAAGTTTGTTTTTCGAAGAATGGAAAGGATTGTCAGTTTTGAATCACATGGTACGGCCATTGAAAGTTCTAACATTCCCGAAATTCTGTACAGAAAAAATATTACATTCATGTGATTCACACCAAAAAAATGTATACACTGGAATGCATGATCATCATATTAATAATATATATATCATAAATAATGTGCAGAATTTGCAAAGGAGAGACAATGGTGGTGCCTCATAACTGTGTACAGGGAGACACAAAAACATGTCACAACAAACTAAAATCCTTCAGGCTCAATGTTTCTGCACATCATATTTGCTCTTAGTTTCTGAAGTAGGATATAAGTGGATTGGCCCTAGGATGTGCAATAGAACTTTAACAACTCCAAGAATACCTAGATAAAGCATTAGCCTCAGGGAAAGTATGCTCTGGGGCATCGCACCAACAATCTTAAAAATCATTGATATTATCCTAGTCTTCTGTAAACATATATCATCACTTCATTTCTATTATATTTTTCTAAATATCATTTACTATATGCTTCATGCAATGAAAGATGATAGTAAATCTAATATTTTCATCGCTGACCCATCAGACCAGCAAGCAAGATCAAAATTTCTCCATAAATTACATGCAAGAAAAAACTTGAACTTGCTACTTAGGCTGCAGTGCGAAAAACAAAGTAATCTGGGATCATTGGAGTAAGCGGTTCATTGGATTAAATACTATTTAATAAATCACTAAGGCCATATCATTGAAACGAATCTGGTTAGTAATCTTCAAGCCAGAAGGTGTTCAGCCTAAACTGAAAGTAGGCACCAAATAAGTTGGTATCATTTGAAATCACAAATACATTCTTAGACACAAAATAAACACAATTGTATATGGTTGTCAATAAATATGGACCATCCTGCAGGTTGTGATGCACAATGTTGGTAAGACATTTGACGATCACTTGTAAGAAACCCAACCAAATTGGTTCTCAATTTAATTGTTTGCGTAAGTACATAACAGAAATAAAAGTCAAAAATCTCAACATGCAGGAAATAAATGAGCAAAGTTAGGATTAATAAGGTGCAACATTATGGTAAAGAAAGGAGAGAGAACCCACAGCAGAAAGAAGTACAGGTTTTCTTGACCACAGAAGTTTAAAGCAGTGTATCTCATTTTCCACTCAAGAGAGGACCTTGCATTTAGTGCAAGTGACAAAGTAAAACAAAATCAATTTGTAAACAGATTTCCACATCATGGCTATGTGACCATCTGAATCCTACTTCATCTATATCAACAAATCAAACCATAAAAACCTTGTAATAAGTGAAAACCTATATCAACAAATCAAAGTATATCAACTAGTACACCAAATGTAGCTATGTATTCTAAAAAATTCCATTTGTTCATTTTACTTTAGAACTTAAAAATTCAAATTACAGACTTGCACTAGTCCTCTCTTTTAGAATTGAGTTTGGAACTCAACTTCGTCTTTAATACATTAGCTTGGCATCATCAATGAACTTAAAGATGTAAAAGTAAATGAGGATAACAAACTGACAGTCTAAAAAGATGTATTGCAGACAGAAGCATGATAAACAGTTTTTAAAAAATGAATTCAATGACAAATAAATCTACATACACAAAGCGAGAGAGAATTGTATCACCTTCAACACTCTCATTGCTGCCAAATATGTTTAACAACATCCTCCAATTCAAACTTTTCGGGCAGCTACAGAGTTTAGAACAAGAATTTCCTGAACTTACCAACTCATATTTGATCGTTTATAACTAAATCATGTTTGGTCATAGTTCTCATGGAAAAAAAAAGGACTAAGAGAAAAATCATTTGCAGTCCTCAATGATGTTTAACACAAATCAATACACAACCTTATGAACTATCTTGTTCACATGATAATGAACAAGCTCAATCTGCAACAAACCTATGACTATCTAGATCATATGAAAAATACATCTGCTCAAACATTAACCTTCAGCAACCTTTGCCTCACATAGTGAGATAGCCAAATTTATCAGGTAAGAACTTATACAGATTTGATGTAAGGACCACTCTGTATATGACATAAGAAAGAAAATTTTAATTTACAGGAAGTTATTCATAGAGAAGTTTACTCCAAAGGTACTCACCCGGAGAATAGATGCCACGCCTTCAGGATAGAACTCTCTATGCCGTGCTGTTCCCGGGAGAGGATCTCCTTCATCATTCTGCTCAACCTTTTCCCCTTCCTCTCCGCTTCCCTTGTCTGGCAAAAGCATGTCTGTGAATGCTCCCATCTCATGTAACTTCTTGCATGCTGCTAAACAAACAGCCTGCATGATAAAAATATTTGTTAGGCATGTGTAACTGAACCCTAGGTATATTGATGGACACAACTACTTCCAAGAAATACCTGCTGCGCTATGCGCATTGAACAGCATAAAGGACCCTCAAGCTGTTGAAATGGTGCATTGCAAGGCAGTTGAAGCTTGCATGAATACTCAGTTGACCCTCCTGGCCTTTCATGTCTTTGCATAATAAATTCAGGCCGAAGTATTGAATATCTAATTTAAAATATCAAAAAGAACTGTAACAGATGTTTACTAAGAATAAAAAAGTTTAGATATATGTGGCTTGAAAATTGATGAAATAAGCACCTGTCACTCGGCAATTGTGAACAGTAGAAGTGAATGAGTCCAACTGCAGAATTCAAGCTGACAATTGCACCAGTTGATTGCACCTGGTACACAGAGCCAGGTAAAGTATCTGTGGTAGATAATCGTTGAATATCCTTGAGATGACTAAGATCCGTTCGCTCTATAGCTTCTTTTCTCAGTGTCTCCTCACTATTCCGAGCATTTCTTAAGAAAGTTTCGTGTGACAGATTCCCTCTATATAAATAAATAAGGCTTCAGAAAAGTTAGCAACCAACTTAAAATTACACATAAGCAATTGGTAGGCTTAACATCAACATCATAAACAATACATACCTTTCAAGCATCAAAATGTAGTCAGATCCAGGCTTTCTGGCACGACCTCGAGATTGGATATAGGCTAAAACTGTTTTTGCAAGGTCAAAACGAATGACAACATTACACTGCCTGATATCAAGTCCTTCCTCAGCAACACTTGTGGCAACTAACAAAGTAATCTGCAAAGAAAAAGCACAACAGCATAAAATGGAATGTAGCTAGGTGAAGAATAATCTACAACAGCTTCACTTTGTTTGTGCTGCTGCTACATTTAGTTGGCAGCCCCTGGAAGATTCCTACTCAAATACATAAAAACATAAATCCTCATGAAATTGCAGCAAGTATTGCATTTCAATTCAAAATCAGACAAAAGTGCTGTTTTGACCCTTCTTGTTCCAGCTTTTAGAATTTAACCATATCCCTTGAAATCAGCTTAAAAACAGTGCAATGCTAAAAAGGATCATACCCGGCCATCACGGAATTGAGCAATGGTGTCTTGCATTTGGCTTGTACGCATTTCCTGGTTATTGTTGTGTCCTATGAGACTTGCACACTTAATGAAGCTTAGCGATGGGAGCTCTGAGAAGACCTGCATATGTGCCACAATTTTACATCATCATTTTTTCAGAAACAGAGAAAAATAATCCTGTTCTCAGAAATAAAAAGTAAACCACAATGAGCAAATGACCTTCGGAAGAACTAAGGCAGCAACAACACGCTCAACAAAAATGATTGCATGGAAGTCCTCAGTATGCTGATACTTAAGAAGTATCTTAATCAATGCCTGAACCTTGGGAGTAACCTTTCCATCTGCCACAGCAGCACCTATTATGACATCTACATGCTCACCACCGGAGACAGCTGGACAATGTACAGTACAAAATGATACACAGAATCAGATGACATTGAGATGCAAGTACAATCGTGTAAAGTCAGATGTCACCAAAATCCCCTAACTTTAGCAGATGAAAGATTACCGTAACCAGATTACTAAAATTTAAGGAAAAATGCTGATCAAGAAATACAAAAAATAAGAGCGAGGACATGGAACCGAAAAGAAAATCCACGACATACAACTCATTAGATGTAGCGCCATAAAAGGACAGTTTAGAGAATAAAAATGAACAACTAGCAGGTTCCTTTTTCATTTTATGTTTCAAAATATCATCTGCAAAAAAAAAAATGAAATGATACGTATACAAGAAAGAGGACAACTCTGTTGCACCAGCAGCTGTCAAGGGAATGTTTACAATTTAGCAGTTAAAATTAAATTAAACAAACCAATCTAATGATTCAAACTGGTTGAACAAGAACCTCGTCAGACTAAAAATTCGAAGCTGCAGCATGGACCATCTACAAAAATTATAACAAACCAACAAAACATAAATATGCAAGCGTAAGGTCAATTAAATTGGTACATTGCATTACATAGCGATTTTCCAAATTCAACAAGATGAACTTGAAAGATGCTGGCAGTTGCATAAAACAGATGAACTTTCATAACTGAGAAAAGACTTTTAACATCATATAACAGATGAAACATGACTGATGACCAGATAAACGCTGACAATTTCATGAGAACAATGAATATCAACAATCAACCAGTGATAAAACGTGTTATGGGCAAAAAATCTTTTAGTTGGACAATGACAATGAAGTAACCTAAACAAACAAGATCAATGGCCAGAGAATAGCAATATAGCCATTTGACGAATTGTAAAAGAAATATCAAAATTTTTACTAACTACACCTTTGTAATGTTGAACCAGTGAATCTTAACTATGCTACCAGCAAAGCTTGCTCTCTCTTATCATATTTAGCTATAATTAACAGATGCAACCCACTCTGGGCAAAGGTAAGGATAAGGCCATTGCTGCATGAAGTGGCGATGAAATGGACAGCTAACAGATGCCACAGTGTGAAGCATCAAATGAATGAAAAATTATTACAAGAAATCCTTATGACATATATAAATCATGATTAGAGAAGAAAAGCATTGGTTACTCAAATACAAAACTCTGTAACATAACAGAGTGTAAAAAGAAGAAAAAAAAAACTTCATGCCAAAACTGAATTCAAGTGCATCACCATAAAGAGAAACAAACAACCAATTAATTAAATACTAAAACCATATGCTAAATTATATTGTGCCAAAAAATTCCACAAAAACAAATTAAATTAGGCAATAAAGTTAGCTCAACTTGAAGAAGTGTAGTGACAGTCTAAGAAGCCGAATGGGTAACCCAATAAACTGACCGAGGCAAACGAAAACAAACAATGTGCAACTTTTCAAAAGCTTAGATTCAAATGCTGAAATGAACTTTACTAAAATATAATCGCATATCACAACTATTCATTAATTAAAAAAAAAAAAAAAAAGTAGGGATCAAAATAAGCTACTTAAGTAATATTTCAGTGCCTAAAGACTGGTTTCAGACAGAAGCTACTTTAATAATATTTCAGTGCCTAAAGATTGGTTTGACTGTCTCAAACAAAATGAGCCAGACTCCTTCAAAACCCCATAAAAGGTAAATGAGCAACCAAATCAAGGTGAAGCACAAAACAATACAATTTGGCTAGCTAACCATAGCTTTTGCTAAAAAATGCCATCTTGTGAATCACCCAGGATCATTTCCAAGAGCAGCTGGCATCAACAACCTTGTTAAAAATACAAGAAATGATGCATTTCCTTTATCATCAGAAGAATTAACATGCCGAATTTGCTGCAGTAAAGACTGATAGACAATTTGAATCTAGTGTATAGATTTACATTCAAGAATGTATATCCACAGATTAAAACTATATATAGGACTATCAACGAGAATAAGGTCTATATAATTATAAAAATCAGATTCACTGCAGCAATTCATATGATCAACCATTACAGCACTAATTTCTTACTAAATAGAAGACGCAATTAAAACTTTAAACAACTAAGTTAATAATAATGCCCATCTTCATATTAAAGTTTAATGCCACCAACCATGACTGTTAGGCAACTCCCCCTCCTCAATTTCCTCTACACTTTGAGCATCAAAGCTGTGCACATCAGCACCATTTTTACCACCATCATTGACAGCCCCTTCAGACAGCTGGCATTGCAGTAGAGCGACAACTTTCTTCAGGTATGATTCTTGAAATTTGACATCAAGCTGATAATTTGCCCTTTCATCATTCTGCAACGCTGTCAAAAAGGAATGTGCAACCTGAAAAAGTATGCTGTCAAATTTCACAACATCAATGACCAAAAATAGAGAAAACAGCAACAATCAACAACAGATACCTTGTAAGCACACCACTGTCCAAGTTCACCTAAAGCATAATTTATAGCCCGCAACTTCTGAATCAAATTAGCAGCACCATCACTTTCTGTTCTCTCAGAAACACCATAAACCAAGCGCAGTTCATCTTTGGACCCAGCATCTCTGGCTCCCATAAACTGCCATTTGCTTTTTCTAGAGCTAGAATGAGCAGCTTGTTCAACTTCAACTTCCATTTGCTTTATTTGCTCATGAAGAGACCATAAAACAGCTGCTTTATCATACTGCACAACGATTTCCAAGGGCATTGGAACATGTTTCTCCAACTCTCTTCGGTCCTTCACTGTACACACAATGGAATCTAATTTGCTTTCAAGATTCCGAATCTTGATGGCACAGTCCTCCTGACTAGAAACTCCTGGACAGTAGATGGCAAAAGCTTAAGAAATACTGCAACAAATGAAACTCATAATAAAATAATAGAGAATGCTAAAAAACAGTGAAACCAAGTATCCATAATCGAAAAATGAAAAAAAAAAAAATCAAATGTACACCATACCCTTTAAGTTGACAGGAGAAGCCGTCATACCAAAAACAGCTGGTCTTTTATCCTTCGGAGTTGTATGATAGAACTCAGACATTACCAAAGAATACGGGTGTTTTTTCACAGCATGATGGCACTCATCCAAAATTAAAAGATGAATTGATTCCATTTTAATTATACTGTGCCTGAGAATGTTCAACAAAATTTGAGCTGTCATAACTAGTACCTGCAATGGAACCACTTGCTTTCAATACAACTAAAGTACACTGTTGAGGTAACAGGAAGGTTGGTTTTACTTACTCTTTTGACTTAAAATGTTCGTGAGAATTGAGATGCTATAATGTACAATCAAATCTACATAGTTGATCTATTGAAATAAAAAAAAGCATCACCAGAAGGGGTTCCAAAGTTGGCATTACACCTCAATAGCATACATTCCAATGAAGAATAATCGAAGAACAGGATCCTAAAACAAACAATCAGTGTCTAACAAAAAGTGTGTTGGACAAAATTTATTGTGGTAGTTGTAGACAACCATATTGATATTTATAAGACAACAAAATGGTCCATCTTTAACGTGTATTTCACGAAATCAATATATAAAATAACGATAGCAAAAATTTGCTTAACCAAATTTTTCTCTAGAGATGAAGGTACCATGTTTTATATATTATCATATATAATTTTTTTCAAGATACAAAGTAAAACATAAAACCATATAGTCATCGAAAAATAAGGTACATGAAATATCCCAAGCCCAACCATATATCATATATCTAAGGCATCTTTTAGAACATTGCTCCCAGATAAATTACTGATTAATAGAACATTGAAGTGGCCTAATATTTCAGCAAGAAGTGTGGTTAGTGATTAGTGCATCTTTTCTACTCAACTTTTAAAAAGAAAGGAACATATGATGGCACCAACAAGATTTTTTAATTTAAAAAAAATAAAAATTTCAATATCATGAGCAATAAGCATATGAATAACATATCAACTAGCAAAAGATGGTAAAGCTTGTATCACCCAACATCGGGTTAGCCTAATAGTCATGGCCTAATTGAGCATTGCATAGCAAAAATGATAGTCTCACATTGCTAAGAAATTAACAGTCGGGTTAGATGAACTCAGGTGTTGGCCCATAACTTATCAACTTATGCTTGTGATGGACTCACCGCTTTGGTGTTCATTTTCTGGTAAGGAGACTCTTCCTATCATTCCTCATTAATTCAACATAAGTCCCTGGAATGCCTAAAACAGCATGGCATTACACCTCTATTTGTTGCAATGAAGAATCACCTAAAACTTATCCTTCTAAACCCACCAACAAGGGGAAAGAAAAAATTTACCACTCCCCAGAGCATGTATAAAGGGGCAACTCTTCCTTTTATTCCATGAATAGGAGTTTTACCAACTTTTTTCTTGTATTGATTACTCATTACACAATGAATAATCTCATTTTGACCTCAGATGAAGGAACTGGCATGAAAATGCTTGAATGAAAGATTCACTCACATCAAATAATTACCAATACCATGAAGATTTCAGTTAGTTTATCGATCATTAATAGCCTACACAAGCATGTGCATCAACATTTTGATGACAACCAACCTCCCATAGCATCAAATTCACCTCCACAAGCATATATAGCATTCAAATGCAGATAGCAATACAGATTCACTTAAACTGATCAGCAATTCCCCTTTAGTCTATTCCACCTTGCCACATCTAAGGCCCTACTGCCAGATAAAATCACTTTCAGGACTTCAACAGCATTGCTTCGCCCAGTAAACAACAAGTTGGAATCACTGAAAACAGAGAATACATACACGAAAAACCTATTTTACCTCCACAATCCTTTTTTTTGGCTTAGGTAAATTAAACCAAAGCATTAAGTGGAAAGTGAAACCCACAAATTAGTTTGCTTGAATATCACATAATTCAGGATGGAACACAGAACATCAGACAATCAAAGCGTCATCTAGTTTCAAAGTTATAGAATGAAAATGGAAAAACAAGCCTTTTTTATAGAGGCAGCAACAGGATTATGATGAAACAAGTTAGTCAAAAAACAATTTTTGATAGAACATCATAGAGTACAAGTGCCTTGCCTGCTTAGACTCAAATTCACGCTGCCACCTTCTTGCATCCCAGAAATCTTGACCAGTCTCTCCACAGTAATGTCCAACTTTATACCCTGTCCTTTCGCGAATAACTTCAGCTTGCTACAAGAAAATCCCAAATGATAGCATATCAATAGAACATCAACGAAATACAAAGCAAGTTACTTCTCTTCAACCCAGTACCTGATATACGAGAGGAACTTTTGGCACCAGAAATACAGCTAACATTTTCTTATTATGTTTGAGCATCTCGGTGCAGACACTTTGGATGAGCATTACCGCAATCAGCGTCTTGCCTGCACCCGTCTCCAAAAAGGCTATCGTGTTTTTCTTCTTGGCTTGCTCAAGAACATCAAGCTGGTATTGGCGTGCTTGTTCTTCAGTCGACTTCTCCCTCTTCTCTTGAGGTCTCTTTTCGGGGCTCCTAACCTGGTCGGTAATATCCAGCTTGGCCTTCTTTGCCTCCCTGTTGGTCTCCGCCTCCCATGACCCAACCCGGAACACAACCTTCCCTGACTTATCCCGTTCCCAATACCCTCTACTCTCCCTCTCCCTCCACTCTCTATCCCTGCTCTCCCTCCACTCTCCACCGGCATCCCGCTCCCTCTTTCTACCCCACTCCCCGTCCCTCCTCCTCCGATCAACCTCGTCCCAGTGGCGGGAACGCCGCCGTCCCGGAGATTCCCTATACCGGTCACGCCGATAAGCCCTGTCATCAGCCCGCTCACAGACCCTATCCTTTCTGCTATTGTACCTCCACCCACCATTCGCAACGCTTCCGTCCCTCTCTGCGACCTTCTCATCCACAGTTTCCCGGCGCTCCTTAGCCTCATCGCCGCCAAAACCGTTCTCCGCCGCCGGTTTGGCGACGATCTCTGCGGCTCCCGCGGTGATGGTGCTTTCCATGATGACCTCCACCGGCGGCGGGAGCGGGGCGGCGTTGTGGTCGCCGTTGATGCTGTCGAGGATGCGATCGATCTCGCCGAGGAATCCATCCTCGTCCACGTGGTCCAAGGAGGGGAGGGCAGAGGGATCGAAGTCGGCGAAGTCGATGCCGCAGAGGCCGTCGTCCTCGCAGGCGTCGAACCAATAGGAGGCCGGATCGCCGCCGCCGTTGGCGAGGGCGGCCGCTGCGCCCGCCGGCCCGGGCAATGTGGGCTCGCCCCCCATCTCCAGCTCCCCTCAACGCCGAAGACTTCTCCTCGAAGCAAACACTGGAGGGGTAGGGCGAGGAGAGAATCCCTATTAACTAGATGGACTGAGAGAGAGAAGGAGAAAGGCGGTGATAAACCGTACGAATCACGCAAAGGGGGCGGAAGGAATCGGGCGACGAGATTTTGTTCTCTGGGAAGGATTCGGCGGTGTATCAACGCGACTCTCTTTCTTTCTCTCTATTCTCCTCTTCTTTTCAGCGATATGGCTTTTTGTGAAGACCTGCCTTTTTCTTTGACTCTTAAAGACCTTAACACGTACGTGGTCGTCTCCGGCTCCTCAGACCAGCGAGCGAGAGAGACGGAGCGCAGATATGCTTCGATGATTTGGCGGTGCGAGTGGCACAGTGGGGACGACGGGGAAGAGATGCGCCAGTGAGGGAGAGAAACCTCGATCCGATTTAGGTCTGTCTATATTATGAGAATTACCAACAATAATAATATTACTGGTATTACCGGGTTTAAAGTTAAGGCGGTTTGGCCGGCACGTGCGAGGGTAGTGGGGTTCGGTTCAACTGCTTCGGATCGTGGGAACCGTTTGGCCAAGCTAAACTTCCCTCGCGTTACCCGTTTCACCAGTTGCCCACCGACCGATGGGGCCCGCATTGGACCCAATAAAACTCACCAATGCAATTGCAGGTATCTCAGCAGAGTGATTTGGACGGGTCGATCACGGACGACTTTTGGCGGTCGTTCACAACGGTGCTGATCTCTCCACGACAGTCGATCTGGATTCATAACCCCACGTTTCTTTCTCTCCCTGGCATAAATCCAGCGTCCGGTACAAAATCCGAGAGCTGTTTCTGTCTCTCCCTCTCTCGGTTAAGCAGATTGCTGTGCGAGGTCTCCATCAAAGATTAGTGATGCCCAACAGCAGTTTGCACTTCTTACAAGCTGTCCACTGCGGTGCCAGCTGGGAGCTGACAGTGTAAATGCTCGCGTCGAGAAGCCAACAAGAACGGGTTGCAGCCTTTTCTCCCCCGTGGTTTCTTTTCCATGAACCGTCACCCAGCACTGCACTGCTGTGCTCTGCTCGTTGCCTTCACCTTGAAGCGTTTCGTAAAATAATGCAGAGATCAGAAGGGGGAGGAGGGTGTGCGGGGATTCACCAGGCTAGGCTACGGGCTACGTCGCGTTTCCGACGTACCGTGATTTGATGGCCATTAAATGGCGAGGGCATTTATTGCTTCTTTTTCCCTACGCCTGCTGTGAGTCGGGACGCGGACGCTGGATGTCTTGTTTCTTGCGTGTGTCCGCTACCCTGGATGTGCAGCTACCATGGCCGGGTGTGCTTCTGGGCGCAGAGAACGTGGGTCACCAGCAAAAGCGCAGGCCCCGCCCGAGCTAAGAGAGGCTGGCCGGGTGGGCCCCGCGTCACTTGGTTTTGCGGGGAGCGTGTCCCCTGCGGCAGGCGGCCGTGGTTGAAAATTTAAGGATGTCTGTCGGAAACGACGGGTGCTCTTACAGTGGCCGCGACGACTCTGGTGTTGATGAGGAGGAGGCCCGGCCATTCTTTTGCTGGTGAGGTGTAATGGAAGGGCCAGAATCGGCGACGGGTCAAAAGTTGTTGGCCGACGACTGTTCTGCGTTTAGGGTTTTCCCGGGCATCGGGCGACTGACTGCTTTACCATGGAGGCCTTGACAGGCCAAAGCGATGATGCATCAGAGACCACCATGGAATCATACATGATTGTGAGGCGCTGTTGGCAGGCAGAGAAATAAACTATAACGAGTAGCGCCCCACTATGAAACCTCGCGCTTCCGCAGTAGAGTGGACGAGTACCGGTTGACTAGATCGATACCTTTTTTAACACTAGGACTTGTACAAGGGTCCACAAACCCAGTTTTCTAGCGATGTGCGAGGGACCCAAAGCACGCTTCAACATTATTCCCTCCACAGGATAACATCATTTTCCAAAGTCCATGACCCCTAATCATAGATCAAGATAGATAAGACTCTCAGGTAAGATGGTGATGATTCTTGCGTACATGGACTCCTGCATTTTTCGATCATATCCAAATACAGGTACCATAATTCTGTTCTTCCACAATCAAATTCCTACATTTAATGGAGATTACAGAATCTTCTCCTGTTCACGAGTGATTGTACAAAATAATGATGCTGCGGTTTCTGTGGACTGAGGTCATAATGATTTACAGGTGAAAATAAAATGGCTAAAAGTATAGAGGCAGTGATTACCCATGAACACGCCACAAGGAGAACAATTTCCATAGAAGCAGATTCTTCTATGCTTAAAATTTTGGTTGGTATGATTCTGTGTTAATAGAGAAATTTTTTGGGCAATAATGGTCAAGTGATTTGTATTTACTTGTGACTTAGTTCAGAGAGATTTGGACTTTCAGAGGCATCATCTATCAGAAAAAGCTTCTCATCGTCACCGGTCGGCCTATCAATGGATCAGATAAAACCTTCTCACGTAATGCCCCGATCCATATCCATTCTGGGCTTTCTATGCTAGTTTGGCAAGGCTCACAGTGCATGTTTATACATGGATTTGTATCACATTGTCCTACTATAAGAGCATCTATGCTTTACGTCTAAGTCATTACTACATAAGCTAATGGAAACCTTCTCATCTAATATTGTTAAAGCCACATATATCATCAATCAACATTCACTGCTGTGCACAATTTTAGGTATTTACTATCAAGAGAAAAATATATATATATTTACTATCAAGAGAATTTGATTGATGGACACGTTCACTAAGGTCAAAATTCAATCAAAATACTTCAGCAAAACCATGCAAGGATATATTATTTCTTTACTCTCATGGATAGATCTTCAGATGCATGAGAAAATGGCCTCAGTGGAAACACTTCAAATCTCTTTGATACCGTCTCGTCTCATGTAGCTTAGTTTAGCTGCTGCTCCCAATAATTTCACCATATATGCCCTTGATTTTTGCTATCAGTGCGTCCCTGAGATGCAGATGGGTATAAGGATTCGACAGATTAAAGCCATACAGCAGTTTATGAAATACATCAAAAATCTCCAACATTGCAGTAAATTTCACAAGAGGAAGAAGAAAAATGATATGCGGCACGCGAAGAAAAATGCTCATTTATGTAATAGCATTGATACGATGAACAACATAATATCCTACAAAGTGGAAACAAGATAAACCATCTCGCTAAAAGAAGCTGATTTGCGAACAGTAGTTTCTGCAGATACCTGTCAGGCTTGAAAACCAGGTTGTGGTATGCAAACCACTGCAAAGATTTGAGAGCAAAAGAGAAAGGAATTAGTCTACGGAAACAATTAGTGTTAAGAGACTAAACAGGGTTTAGTATTGGCGTTTCAATTACAATTAATTGCTTTCCTTCCCTTGTAGATCAAGAAATGCAAATCAATGTTTACCAATGATCTTAGCAACAGCATATGCATAATATATAAGCTTTGTTCAGGTCATGTGAAACGTAATCTGTATGATGCAAAGAGGATGCCTGCTAAGTAGATGCATGCAGTAATTGACTACACTTAATGGATGAGACTCACCCCCGTGTAGCCAATTCCCACAATTTCAAGAACACCAGGAACTACAGGAAGCCTATCGATAGCCTGCAGAAATGAGAACAGATTTAGGTAACATGAGGACATCAGAATCTACGAGAATTACCTGACAACATTTGACATTTACAAAGGCAAAAGATAGAATACTGAGATTAGTTTCAGTATTAGGTGTACCGAGATCATGCCGCCTGTGCTCCACAGAGCAATAGCTCCAACAAGTGCAAGGCCGCTGATTGCATACTTGTCTTCAAGTTTGTCCCACTGCCTACCTAAAACAGGTCAGTTGAAATCTCCAAGGTCGAGAATAATGCACATAGGGAGTATGAACAGGAAACGCTGACCGCATCTTGTATCTTCTTCACGATTTCTGGAAGCTCGGTTGCAACTTCAGCTGATGATTCTCCTGCGGCCCTGACGATAAATTTTCCTGCTACTTTACGACCTGAACCACCAAAAATCCAGAGGAAAGCATTTAATTGCTCTTCTTTAAGTCTGTTCGTCTCTATGCCATTTTTCTGTTTGGCTATATTTATATGAGACTCGGAATGAGCTTAAGAGCAAAGATTGAGCAGAAAATAGGGACCATCCGATTGCTTTATATAACGCAATCCAGCAAACGCCATAGAAGGCTTCGCATGGACGATGAATTGCTTGTATAATGGCTTATTTAAAGCAGCAGGGTATCGAGGAACCGAAGGACTTACAGTAGGCAGCAGTGGTCCATGTCTCTCTGGCCTGCGGGCGGCTGGGGGTCGCGATGTGGGGCGGAGGAGGCAGGGACGGGAGGCCGATGGAGTGCGGGGCGGTCTGACGTGGGGTCACCTTTGCGTCGACCAGAGCCGGGGAGGTGAGGCCGCATGTGACGCTGGTGGTGGAAGCCATGGCTCAGCTACCAGTACTCGTCTCGCAGAGATGGCTTCCCTCCCTCGTTACCAGGCTTTGCTGCACTTAAAACGGTACTCGGGAGCAGCAGATATCGCTGATGACAGAACGTCCACCACTCGTTCCGAGGGGGCCGATTGGATGGCACAGAATATATATGGGAAGGAGGATAGGTGTTCTGTGGCATCCGTCACTGGAACAGCCAAAGGATGGAATGAGATTGCCTGCGTCTTGGAAATTACTAGCATTTATAGCTCCAGTACCGGTGAATCACTTGTTATACCGCTGTAGTGTTTGTGGTGGACCAGAAGGGCTCGGGGAACTATCAGTACCATAGTTGTGTCAAAGTATCAACCAGCAGTAATGTATGGATCGAATGGCAGCAACAAAAAATGATAAAGAGGATAGACAACTCGGAGCGCAGATTGAAGGCAGGAGAGAGAACGTATCATTTGGTGGTTTAATTATTATTTTTTGCCCAACAAATTTTCTTGTCTTTTCGGTGTTAATTCCATGATAGATTTTACAGCCGCCTGTAAACCTTTTGGAAGAACAGGTTAAATCTTTTGAAGTGATTGGTGGATGTAAAAACGTTGGATTCCTAAAAGATACATGCGATCGAATGATTGCCGATGCATCCTAATAATTAAGACAAACTCATCTGCTATTCCATCTCATCTTCTTGTTGTCCTATTTGCTAGAAGAGACATGGCATGAAGCAGCAGAAATGATCATTCCGAGATCTCGAAGAGCGGCTTTACGTTGTCATACGTGTCCTGAGGTCGATTTCTCACTTTAACTAGCTGAGCCGGTCAAGGTGATGTGGATCATCGACAGGAAGGTCGTCACTGTGCATTATTGCTGCACTGCACGGCGTATTGCCCATAGCGGATGCGCTTACGCCCGCGTCTTTTCGACGAGATCTGCTGCTTCAACTGCTCGCTGAAGGCCGTTGTCCTTCGAAAGTACCGCTCATGGACGACGAGGAGGCATGGAGGCTCAGCGAAGAACATGTGAGGCGCCAGAGGTGGTAGGCTTTTTCCCGTCCGCGCCGTGAATTATTATTGTTGGCAGATCGCAGAGAGGTCGTCGTCGGAGCAGAGGTCAAACTGCTCCTTCGTCATGATGACCAGTGGTAGCTGTAGCTTTCTCTGTCTGTGGTTCATCTCAGCACATGGGAGCTTACTCTAAAGAGCGAGTTTCGACCGCAAGGGCAAATAATTGGAGTTCCCACAAGCATGCTTTCATCTTAATGAGACAAAGTTTGGGGACGTATCGACGGTGCTGTGGCGGGTGTCATCACGCCGAGCACCGTCAAGTGCCTGATTGGCTCTGCCACATTTCCTTACAGGTCAAACCTCCACCCCACGCCCCCGACCCCGCCACCCACACCCCCCCGCCCCCCACCACCCACCCCAACACTGTGGGACTTACATTTTTTTTTTTTTTAATCATAAATTTTTTATATAAAAAATATATTAATTTTTTTATAATAAAAAAATAAATAATAAATAATTTTATTTATCATAACATCGTCAGCTATATATAAAACAAAATATATTGGATCAATATAAAAGTAATAGAGAAAAAAAAATAATTTTAATATCTCTAACGTTTTTAGCATGTGAGATGTTAAAAAAAATTTATTAATAAATTATAAAAATAAAAAAAAATAATATTAAAATTATCTTTTTACCTATTATTTTTACATGCATCCAGTACATTATGTAATGTGTTGTGTTTTCTATCAATATTGATAGTATTATAATAAATAAAATTATTTATTTTATTTTTTAAATTTATAGAGATATCAATATAAATTTTTTAGATATATAGACCGTATTATTAATAAGATCAAAGTATAAAAGATAATTTATAATTAATTCTAAGAAAAAAATGATTAGAAAACAGAGTAAACCAAGTTGTGCTTCGAGTTAGTGTACCTCGCCTTTTCGATAGGAATTAGATGGTATCTTTTTTCTTATCGAATGTTAATAATTATTTTTAATATTTTTGAAATTTAGATAACAAAAACTAAACCTTGTTAATACCCCTAGAATATCTTATGTGTAGTGAACGGCATGCATAACTTTGATATTGCGATTGTAATTACTGTATTTCCAACTCATGCCTTGATAATTATTGGCCAAGGAAAATAATTTGAGGTTTTATATTTTTGTAATTATTTTTTTCATTTTTAAACAGTCGAACCTCCATATTTACATGAATAGTTATTGGTTCAAATATTAAAAAAATTACTCATGAAAAGTTACTTATAAAGGATGATAACAAAGAATATACACCTTCATAATTGCTTAGACAGTTTTTATCTGATATATTGATGTGATTTAAGAAATTAATTTGATTATGATATAAGTTTAATTGTATTATAAGATCGATGTCATATCAATAACTAGATGCTCTCGTATCATATCGATCTTAAGTTAAAGATATAAAGAAAATGTTAGAAGAGAGTAAAAGAAATAAAGAGTTTAATTTTATTTAATTATTTTTAAAGATGTTTAACAGAAGATAAGATTTTTTCAACTATATAAGAAAATTTACCATCTAATTCCCTTGAAACCTTGAGGGACTTGAATCTTAGATCCCTTGTGAGGACGTAAGTCACCGTAACCAAGACTCAAAGGGATGGGATAGAAGTGGAGCTCTCTATCGATGGAGTATATAAATTGTCTACTATTTAAAAGATGGGTCAAGGACAAAATAATTACCATAGCAAGTTTTCATAAATTGCAACCGTGTTTACCGATCCCATTTACCCCTCGACGCAAAGCAAGAGGGAGAAGAAAGATTAGGATACACTCACAAAAGTATACAAAATGATGTCTATGTCACTTTGTGCAGTTGATAGAAATTATACGACATCTTTGAATAATGGCATCATCGACGTCCCGTGAAACTTTTACCGTTCACGTCCCTTGTAGGTGGTGTGACCATCAACCCCACTCCTGTTTAGCCGAATGGAATGATTGCTATTGAAATTGATAAGTATTTTAATATTTTTAAAGTTGAGTGGGATAAATATTTTAATATAATATTTTTTGTGAAAGAAAAAAATTTCATTAATTAAAATATGATTGTTGTATAAATATATCATATATTCTTGAATTTTGATAAATAGAATATAATGAAAAAAATATTTTTGGTGTTATTAGGTTTAGGGTGTCTAGAAAGGATACTTTCTAGAATTTCTTAAAAATACAAGAGAAAATGGTATAATTTTTTTTAAAATTTATATGATATGGTTTATAAGAAAATTATGCCTAAGAGAGAATAACTCAATGTATTGTAATTGATTTTTATGTATTAAATTTTTTTAATTAATTATATATATATATATATATATATATATATATATATATATATATATATATATAT